CCTTATATCCTGTACATACCGGATTCTGGAAAAGAAGTTCTCCCCTCCCCCAATTTTCTCTAAGGTGCTAGGACGCGCTAGAGAGGGTGTGAGTGTGTGGAATTCCAACAGTAGGAATAAGGGCAGTGATCTAGCTCACAACGAGTGAGTAGTGGACACTGAGCCCGGACCTTGCGGAAATCCCGGAGAACCCACTGCGGAGTTAAGGATCAAGAGCATAGCGAGTTTAGTCAAGAAAGTAGGATTTTGGAGAGTTTGGCCCCATGAGCTTAGTCGGCATTGAGAGCCACGAGCCCTCTTGCAACGTCCCAGCATCTAGTCAACACATCTGGTTTTACTCCGAGTCTTCCGGGATGGAACTGGACAGTCATGTGGAACTGGGAGAGGAACTCTGACCAGCAGGCTTGCCGCCAGGTCAAGAGTTTGGTGGTGGAAAAATACTCAAGGTTCTTGTGGTCGGTAACGACGTCGATTGGAGTTCCTGAACCTTCAAGGTAGTGACGCCACGATCGGAACACGTCATGGATGGCAAGCAGTTCCTTATCATGGGTGTTGTAGTTGAGCTCCGGTGCCAAGAGTGTTCTAGAGCAGAAAGCAACAGGGCGAATCTCTCTGTCATCACAATGGATGGACAAGATTCCAGAGATTGCATAATTGGAAGCGTTGGTTTCTACAATGAGGGGGGCGTCGGGTAACCAATGTGTCAGGATAGGAGCAGAAGTGAAGGCTTCTTTCAAGGTGTTGAAAGCAGAGTGACAGTCATCAGAGAATAACCAGGGGGCTCCTTTACACGTAAGGCATGTCAAGGGGACCACAATGTTGGAGTATTGGTGGATGAAATGCCGATAGAAGTTAGCGAAGCCAAGGAAGGACTGGACATCCTTGACTTTACGGGGCTCGGGCCAATCTTGGATGGCTTTAACCTTCTCAATGGACATGGTGAGTCCGGAGGGAGAAAAGCAGTATCCGAGATATTCCGTAGTGTCCGTATGAAATTCGCATTTCTTCGGATTGGCATATAGGCTGTGTTTGCGGAGTCTCCTAAGAACTTCTTGGACATGCTCCTGATGTGAAGCCATGTCTTCCGAGTAAGTAAGGATGTCGTCTAGGTAGACTACCACAGAAACGTCCAAGAGGTCGGCAAAGATCATGTTGATGAATCGCTGGAAGGCTGCGGGTGCATCCGTGAGACCGAATGGCATGACAAGCCACTCATAGGAACCATAGTGCATGTGGAAGGAGGTCTTCCATTTGTCGCCTGCTGCAATGCGAACCAGGTGGTAAGCATGCTGGAGGTCGAGTCTGGTGTAGACTGTGGCATGGCTAGGTGCGTCAAGGAGGTCGGAGAAGCAGGGAAGTGGGTAGCGATCCTTTTTGGTGATCTTGTTCAGCCCTCGGAAGTCAATGCAAAGACAGAGGGATCCATCCTTCTTGCAGACAAAGAGGACCGGTGCCACGTGAGCGGAAGTAGCGGGACGAATGAACCCGGAGGCTAGGTGTTCATCTAAGAATGCCCAGAGGGCCTCGAGTTCCAAAGTAGAGAGAGAGTACATAGTACCCAAGGGTGGTGAAGTGCCTTCCTCTAGGTCGATCTTCAGGTCGTGCTCATGGTGTGGTGCCAGCATCGAGGCTTTGCTCTTACTGAACACATCCGCGAACTCGTGATACTCCTTCGGAACAGCCGAGAGGTCAACGGAATCGGTGTGGGATGAGGCAGCCCTCAAGCAGCTGTCCTTGGAAGGGATGGTTAGGCTGAAGGATACTGATCCTTCAAGTCAACAAGCCTTTGCGAATGCAGAACAGCTGACGAACTCGATAGATGGTAACGGAGGAAAGGGAGCCTGTGACTGAGGTGCTGGTGGAACATCAGATGGTTGGATGTTGGACAACGGCAGTGGTGCCGGAGATGACGGGGGAGAGCTCAGAGTAACTGTCTTGGTAGGTTCAGAAGTTCGGAACGTAATACTGCTTGAGACCCAGTCAATCAACGGATTGTAGCAGGTAAGCCAGTTGTGTCCTAGGACTAGGGAACATGATCCATCCAGCAATGTGACAAAGAAAATCGTGGGGGTGATGTTTCCGGAAGCGAAGCAGAGGGGAATATCGATGGCATGGGTTATGATTGAGTTGGTGCTACTGTTGAATAGGCGTAGTTGTAGGGGTTTAATCTGATATGTCTTCAAGGCCAACTTCTTTACGAATGTGTCATCAATGAAGCAGTCCAAAGACCCAGAGTCTATGAGTGCGGGTACGTTCTCATAGGAGCGGAAAAGTTTATTTTGTGTCCTATCATTGGACAGAGGAGAAGGGACAGGAGAAGAGAAAGAAGAGAAACGGAGAGAGGTGGATCGATCTACGGAAGTAGTCGGAGTGGGTGGAGGAGAGAGTGGTACATCAGCAACACTATCTACAACAGGTAGAACATTAACTGGAGGGTCAACATTGAGAGGAGAAAATAGACCATTTGAAAGAGAAAAAGAGATGGGAATATGGAGGGAGGATAAGTCGGAGATGGAAGATGCATTTAAACGCACTTCTTTGAGTGCATGGAGGGAAGAATCGCAACCCCTGGTCCATGCAGAGTCCACGGGGGTGCGGACTAATTTTTTGCTTCTGCGGAAGTGGATCCTTGCTCCTCGGTCTGGGCCGAACGGGCCTTAGACACGCGAGAAGAAGACTTGGGACAGTCCTTGACCATGTGGCCAGACTGGCTGCAGAACATACAAAGTTTCTCGTCGAGACAACGCTTACACTCTTGTGGCATGAGCTTGCCGTTGTCTCCGAGTTTTGACGAAAGGTCTGGTTTAGCGGAGCTGGCCTCAGACTTCTTATTGTCCTTTGGAGGCTTGCTACCGGAAGCGGAGTTGAAAGAGGAGGAGGAAGGGTCGGGTCAGGATGAGAAGCGGCAGTGGACTTGTCAAAAACGTTAGAGGAGGAGGGTTTTGCATGACATGTAACTTCAGATTTATGCTCCCAATAGTGCGCATCGAAAGTTTGCGACAAGGTGCAAAGTTCCAAAAGAGTAGAAGGTTTACCTACTCTGGCAATATTGTCCTTGATACGTTCCGGCAATCCGTTATAGAAAAAACGACGAAGTGCGGCTTCTCCGTAACCATGAAGTTGAGAGGCATGTCGGTTGAACTCAATGACGTACTTATTGATGTGGTGCCCATCCTTCATGTCCAGGGTCATTAGTTGAACTTCGGTGTCACCCACAGGATCATGAGGACCGAAGTTGGTTTGAAGTTCGTTGACGAACTCTTGATAGTTATTCATCCATCGCGGACGAAGCATAGAATTTTGATCGAATAATAGATCCAGCTCGAACCAATCGAGGGCCATTCCCTTGAGGTAGGACTGCGCGAAGATGACCTTAGTGCGGTCGATAGCAAAAGCGAGGGGACGGTCCTGGAAATTAAGTTCGCATTGGACCAGAAATACTCGGAGTTCTCGGGGATCTTTCCTGTCAAACTGTTTGGGCTCACGGAGAGCAGAGGATGGTGGACATGGTGGACGTCCAGTGTGATGAGCCAAGCTGGCAATGGCTTGGGCTAATTGCGCAATAGCCACGTTGGGGATGGGTTCGGCATCGTCGGCGGTTGGGACAGTGGGGATGGGAGGATCAGCAGGAGGAGGGTCAACGAAGTCAGGGACCTCGGAACCGAGTCCAAAGAAGTGAACGGGGTCTATGGGTTGTTCCGTGGTGTCTCCAAAATCGGAATCTGCAACTGGTGATCGATTCCTAACGGGACGCATGATCAGAGTCGATGGGAGAGGGGTTTCTAGATTAGAGAAGCTACGAAACTCAACTGGGTTTCTCGCCAATCAACTAGGACCAGGCTGTGAGGGTTCTGGGGACAGTGAGGCAGAGTTGGGAACTAATGTGCATAGTTGCGAATGAGTGCGAGGGGCTTTTGGTGCCATACAAGATGTGTACTAGTCAGGGAGTAATAAAATACTGTCAGAGACCAGGTTGAGACGAAGGAGTGTCTCCATGGCAGAGGGCTTCAGCCTCAGCGACTTATGCCAGGAGCGCTGTGCCAAGTAACACGTCCATGCCCTAACTTACTAAACTGGCAACCAGAACTGAAGGGGGTAAACTCTAGTCGATTTTATTACTGAGGTGTAACCTATGTACAAGTTGAGTATATATATAGTTACAACGAGGGCAGGCCCGCAAATGGTGGAGCCGAGCAGAGCAGAGCTAATGGGGTTTAGACATTAGCCGATTGAATATTACTGACGAGTCGGGTTATGGGGTTAATGGAATGGTAGGCGATAACCCAGAAACAGAAAGGAGGGATAGGCCCGAAGGTGGGCTTGCAGGGCAAGCGAGTGTATTGCCCAGCAGAGGTGGGAGTGTGCTAGCGGACGTCGGAGCTGTCCGGAGGCCTTCGGGGCTCCGTACTTAGGGAGGCATAGGTAATAAATTGAAAAGAGGGGGTGGTGACCATCGAGGGGTACTGAGGTGATTGCAGAATATGGGAGCTCCGAGGTTAGTGAAGAAGGAGCGGAGGTAGACTGGAGGGATCGGAGGGAGTGGAAGTCGATGGCTGGGGATGGATATGACAAAGACAGGGTATGGGGTCGCTATTTATTTTGACGGTCAGGAGATATTGGGGACCGGGGGTTCATTGGGATGGGGGAGTTCGATGGATGCCAAAATGAGAGGCTTGCAAGGCGTGGCAGCGGAGACAAGCTGCATACTCAAGAATGAGATGCTGGTCCAGGGGGTGATGCGCATATATATTTTCGCTGACAACACAAACTCCATTGGAAGAATTGTCAGTCAGGTGGGGGGGTGGCCGTATAGCAGGAGGTTTAGGAAAATAATCGGTAATCTATTGTGCTGTCGGAGCGGTGTTGAAGTTGTGGTACAGTGGTGTCCATCTCATTCCGGTGTGAGGGGGAATGTACAGGCAGACCAACTGGCGAAGTTGTTTGCTTTGTAAATTTATTATAATCTGCACATAAATGGTTTCTTGCTGACAAGATGAATGCGATAATGTATCATACAAAGTGTTGATGATTCATAATTCAGTGGTTAATTCTTCTACTGTTTACATGGTGGACATCACTGGTTATCAACATTGGGGGCCCCCATAGTAGGGGACCCCTTAGGGTATGTATGGCAACGCAAAATCAAGGCCCTATTGGGCCTGGATCCTGGCTGATTAGGCTGAAACCAAAGCACCAAAGCACCCCAAAGCATCCACCATCAGTCAACTCACTCACCAATGTAAATAGAATTGACATTCTGATAGTTTTTTTTGGTTGAGTTGGGTTAGCAGGTTAGGTTACTAGACACAACAATCATCTAATAACGACACCATTCACAAAGTGTGGCACTATTGTCCACTGGGGCTAACTCCTCTGGTACACATTCCAATTGTTCGACCAAATCTCCGATGGTGGACCAGGCCTCGTTCACAATGTGGAATAAATTTGGGGAGAGGGAGAGTTTCAACTTGGCATCCATCCCGAATCGTATGCGACCCGTGAGGATTTCTTTCAAGAGCGAAAGGAATCCATCAGGTGACATCGGAGAGTTGGAGCCAAATACAAGTGTGAGGTGGCGAAGGTTGGGGAGAAGGTGCCCTGGCGAAAGTTCAGCTTGCAAATCTTCATATATTCGGAATGACGGGATCAGGAGTAGTTGCACAGAGTTGAGATCAGCCTCGAATACGACACTGAAAGATAGACGTTCAATTTGTGCTGCACGAGCAAGCTACAAAACCGCATCAGCAGCCATTTGCTAATGCAGGAAGTTTTTCTTACAAAAGGCGCCAGCTGCCAAAGAACCGCCCCGAGACTACTTCTACCTGGGTAGAAAGACTGGTCACGTGAACCCAGGCTGCTCTTAGTTGCTATGGTGAGGTCCGACAGACGAGGAAAATCCATTCTGAAGGCATAGTTCAGGAATTCAGGAGAGCAATGGCGCAGTTCAAGCGTGTGAATCCGTGGAAACCTCGGGATTCCCATGTGAGCCCCATAACCAGTGATGTGATTAAGATGGAGGCTCTCAACACTTTGAATGGCAGACTTGGTGAGCGGCCTGACTATATCCCAGTCAAAACACCCGAGCCTCAAGCTAGACAGGTGGGGTGGACTCTGGGGTATGTGAAACAATGAGACATTACTCAGTGATAGAGAGCGTATCTCCTGCAGTTCCGAGAGTGGTCTGAAATTGATGGGTGAATGCTTGGCACTGCTGCACAGTTCAAGATGGTGAAGCTTGGAGTAATCGGAGAGTCGTACGTCGGAGAGTCGTACATCGGAGCCAATTGGAAGATGCAGGGAACGAATTCTTTCATGTTGCATCGGTGTTTTCTTATCTTCCCACTCCCGGGGGTAGAGGTCGAGATGAAGGGGTTTGTCTCTCGAATATAGGATGTATGGATTCTGTGGATCCAGCACCCCACAATGCCCGGGTATGATGGCCCAAATTGATGCCACCGAATGGGCAGCATGACGCCAGGTGGAACATACCTGGCTGAGCACTAAGGCGTCTGCGCACGTGCGTTGGCTGAAGTTAGCCCGACGAACGGAGAAGTAAAAAATCCTTTGGAGAACTTCTGTTGGAACTGCCGCAACAGGTTGCAGGGAAGTGCGGAGTCGAGCACACCAAACACGGAACTTGGCTTCAATGGCTTTCAACTCTCCCAACTGTTTAAGGATTTCATCGTAGTCAACATCCACCTTACCCAGAGCTTCCATCACAGAGGCTCGATGGGATCGACGGACTGGTGGCCCGTGGAGGCAGTAAAGGGGAGTGATCTCGGCCGCTGTAGTTGCTCGGACATAGTCACCAAGTGTTTCCACATCTGCCGACACACGCGGAAGGATATCTTGCAGGATCTTCGACATGAGAAATAGTACTTGTACCGTGGCGATGAATCAATGATCGGAGGTTACTCTGGTAAACCGGCAAGTGCCGAAATGAACACACAAGTTGGCGATGAGTGTTTTGAGTGGATGCCTAACGGAGACCTTACAACGTCGAAGATATCTACTGTGCACTGGTGTTTGTCTGTTAAGCGAGAGTGGTTCCGGTTGCGGCGCCGAAAGCTTTGGCACCCTAGCTTCATTTCGACCTGCTATCTGGAGCTATGGGCATTCCTACTCTGGTCCCTCTGGAGGACCGAAGCTCAGCTGGGACCACCATCATTACTCCCACCCGGACAATCTTAAGCGAGACGGCGTTGTGAGCGCCGCCGAAGATTCTATCAATGGTGCCCGCGACCATCGAGATATTTGTGAGGCTTCTACCCGAACGTGTTCAAGGCCGCCACGTTACTAGGAACAATCCTTGCGTTGTTCACCGCCCGAGCATACGATTCCCGAGGACTCTTTCAATGAAATGGATATTATCTCGGCTTCTGACTCGACGAGCCTCCATCGTTTTCAGAACCTGCCTCAGCCAATGGTTCCCTTCTCGAAGGAAGAATGAATTCATGGTGGCTTTGATTTTCTTACACGTTACTCGTTTAGTTCAATGATGGCATTACGTCTCCGATCGAGGTCTCTCCGCCCGATCCATCAAGATGCCATCCCTTCTCAGCTGATTTAGCGGACCCCTTGCGCGATTGGATACAATATTACTAGGCGCCCCATCCACCACTCCCTCAAGGAATATGTGACAGAACTTGTACCACAGGTGAATTTTACTACGAGTGCACGCACTCCCGACCACACGGGCCTTCTGTATGTGCATATTCTGAAAGCTTGCTCAAGAGCTCTTGTACTGTCGATGCTCAGATCGTACCCGTATGGAGATCTCTATGGGGTATCCCGTCCTCCATGTCACTCGAACAGACGGAAGGGAGTTCCACCTTCTCTTCAACCGCGGGTGGGACCACAATTTTCCATTGCGGAAGTTTGGGATGTGGGGTTCGGGGACATAAATATGGTGCGTGTTGAATTGTTGCGCTGTGAGCTAAATACTGCACTGGGTAGGCTGCTATCTCTGTTCAACTTGACCACCATCTGATAATGGATCCGGAGATTGGCAGGCCGCCGTGGTCTTCCTCTGGCGATGCTGGCAGAGGCTCCCGTGCGCAAATTATTAAGGTAAGCATTGGTGTCGCAACTCCTATGTTATCATCAACTGATTCACGCACAACATGCAGGTTCTTCGCTGCTACAATTTAGGAGATATTGGTATGGGGTGCGGGATCTCTCGACCATCAACATCGGAGTTGATTGGACCCTTGATGAAAAGGATGACTCAGAGGTTTATCGTATTGATTGCACGCCGTCAAGACTGTCCTGAAGAGATTGCTACTCAATGCATAGCTGTGAATTGTATTGACGATCTCTCGTCCCCGCGAGCGCGCACACCGTGATACCCAATATCTTTGAGGCACGGACGGTATGGTTCTGGCAATGGGGCGGAGCCTGGCACCACTCAGCAATTAACGGCTGACTGCACCAAAATTAGCGGCAAGAGGGCGAGACATGTGAACAATCGTCTAAATTATTGATTGTCGTGGTCCGTGTGCCGGAATTCATATTACATATCGTCCTTGGCATGGTACAATAGGGAACCAGCTACACACAGTAGGAACGTACGGAGTAACGTTCCCAGCCCGAATTGATCCGCAGGCCCAGTCCATGCCTGACGTCCCAAAACAACCCGCGCTCAATTCTGCGGTTCCAGGAACAAGTGAACAAGTGCCGGATGGTTCGACGACCATTGCGTGGGGATCCCGCAACCCGAGGTGCGCACAGTAGAGAACTAATTAAATCAAACAATCAGCCAAACACCGGCAGCACAAATATCAAAATAACATTCACCAAGGTGCAACACGATTGGATGGTGTCAAAATATTCAAAAGTTTGATATCAGCTCGCGAACACCCAAACCAATACATCTGCAAGTGGTGCAGGCCGACTTGGGGCCCCCAGATTCACCGATAGTGTGTGTCTGCAAATGAAACACGATCACATATATATATGTGTGTTACGCGTAAGCATGCAGTATCATATACGGACGCGAAATTGTTGGAAGTCAAGCTCGAATCGTGTAATTACGGTTATTTACATCAGGTTAATAAACTTAGCGGTCTACTTCCATCACCTACCCTCGCTGGCGTAACCTTGTTTTTCAACAGAAATGACACTGTGCGCGTGTCTCATGCATTCAAGCATTGAAAGGGACAGTCATGAGCGAAGAGTGTAGTTTGCAGGATGGAGGGGAACAAACTGGCTCTACTGCAGACGTGAGGCATTACGGTAAACGCCGTTGGCGCCGATCTTGAAGATTATCTCCAACCCGTGTCCAACCTCTACCCTCTCTTCGAATCTACTTGAGCTTGAGCTTGCGATATCACCATCTAATCACTCAGAATATCCAGAAATGAACGCTCCTGAATACGACTACGTGTTCAAGGTCGTGTTGATTGGCGACGCGGCCGTCGGGAAGTCTTGTCTACTGCTCCGCTTTGTAGATGCCACCTATACCGAGAATTCCCCTGCTACCATTGGTGTCGACTTTAAGACTCGCATCATAAAACTGGAAGAGAAGGCCGTCAAGCTGCAGATTGTGAGTTCATCCAGCTAGTGCTGTTGCCTGATAACGAACCTGAACGTCTTTCTCCAGTGGGACACAGCAGGCCCGTTTTTATGAAATTAGGTTTCAGCGATGATAATTGTTCTGAAACGATTGTAAATAGCCCGAGAGCGCTACCGATCAATGTATCCCTCATATTGCCGCGGTGCACATGGGGTCATTCTCGTGTATGATGTGACGCGCAATGGTATGCGACGTCCATCCCTCCCTCTTGTTATACTGATTCTTCTGGGTACTATAACTGCACAGACTCGTTCACAAACCTCAGGCGGTGGCTTCAGGAACTTGACCAGTATCTGTCTGAAGGAGTGAACAAGGTCTTGGTTGGAACTAGGTCAGATTTGACGAGCAAGAAGGTTGTGGGATACACGGTCGCCAAGGTACTTGCGTATCCTCTACCCAGATATCCTGATACCTCCCCTTGTGTGCGATTCCTCCAGGAATTCGCCGATCAATTGGCTATTCCCTTCTTCGAAACTTCGGCAAAAAATGGCACTAATGTGGAACAGGTTTTCTTGACCATGGCTAAGCAGATTAAAGACCGGTAAGTCCCTTTCTGCTTATTATACCAGGGAAACGGTGCTGATCGTTCAAACTCTCAGATTAGGGCAGACCCCCACATCAGCTGGCGATAGCTCAAAAGCCAGCATGACAACTCCTGGCCAATTGGTGGCTGGGCTACGCCACTCCCTCCGCTCCTTCTTTTTTTCTCCTACTCAAGAGATGCCAGTTAGGCAACACAGCCCTGTTCCGAATGGTGACAACGAATGCGACCAGCTGTTCAAGGTCGTGTTGATTGGCGATGTGGCCGTTGGGAAGACTAGTCTACTGCTCCGCTTTGTAGATGGAACTTATACCGAGAATTTCGTCGGTACCATTGGTGCCAACTTTATGACTCGTACCATAAAACTGGAAGGGAAGACCGTCAAGCTGCAGATTGTAAGTTCATCTCCTGTGAACAGCAAATGGTGTTGGTGGCGTATCCTCAAGTGATGAGTGCCCATCCGGTACCCCTCACGTAGCAGTACTATAAGCATAAACTTTGCGTTACTCGGCTTCCCTGATATGGGACTAACTTGAACTTGCTTTCTCCAGTGGGACACAGCAGGTCGGTTATTATGAAATCAGTTGCAGCGATGATAATCATCTCGAAACGATCGTGCATAGCTTACGAGCGTTTCCGACCAGTGGCTTACTCGATTTGCCGGAGTGCAGATGGGATTATTGTCCTGTATGATGTGACGGACGATAGTATGAGGCATCCATCCCTCCTTCTCACTTGTCATACTGATTCTTAGCGGCACTGTAATTGTGTAGAGTCATTCGCAAACGTCACGCGGTGGCTACAGGAAATTCAGTCGTATGCGTCTGAAGGGGTGAACAAGCTCTTGGTTGGAACTAGGTCAGATTTGACGAGCAAGAAGGTTGTGGAATACACCGTCGCCAAGGTATTTGCGTATCCTCTACTGGGGTATCCTGATGCCTCCCTTTGTGTGCGATTTCTCCAGGAATTCGCCGACCAGTTGGCTATTCCCTTCTTTGAAACTTCCGCGAAGAGTTCAACTAATGTGGAACAAGTTTTCTTGACCATGGCTAAGCAGATTAAAGACCGGTTAGTTCCTTTCTGCTTATTATACCAGAGTAAAACTGCTGATCGCTCAAACTCTCAGGTTGGGGTCGACCTCTACATCAGCTAGCGTGGTCGCTCCTGGCCAATCAGTAGCTGAGCCGCGCCACTTACTCTCCGTCCTCCCCGCTCCGACCCTCCAGTCTGACACTCGTGCGTCACCCGCCAATCACCTGCTCGCCGACTCTACAGGCGCTACACGAGTATCCGGTCCCCCGACTCCAGAGAAGTCAGTCAAGGAGGGCCTAGTTGCCACCCCTCTAATAATTTCACCCTCAACCCCTGTCAAACGCCCAACTGAGAGTCATGTTACTCGTTCGGGTGAAGTTGAGGAGGTAGAGGTGTTGGGTGCATTTGATTGCCGTGATCTCACACAACAAATCTCTTCGATGCGCCAAGTCGACAGAGGAGGATACTCGCTCGTGTACAAAGGCACATGGGTGCCCGACCCACCGGGCACTCCCACCCAAGTCAGCATTTGTTGCGTCCCAGTTCGAAGTTAATATTGAGCGCTTCCAGGAAGTTGCTGTGAAAGTGCTCCACTTATTGTATTCACAGGATTCGAATCCTCAGGAGAAACAATGGAAGGTGCGCCTGCCCGTGTCGGGATGATGCAGTCACATTGATGTCATACTCCAGCGCCTGAAAAGAGAGATGCGTGTATGGTCGCGTCTGAGCCATGCCAACTTGGTTCCACTACTGGGCTACGTGAATGGTGTTCATGGCCCTGGTTTTGTCTCTCCTTGGTATTCAGAGAGGGACGCAATCAGCTTCCTCAAAAACCATCCCAGTGCTAACAGAAGCATGATTGTGCGTGTTATCTCTCTATTTCTTGGAGGATTGGGGAATTGACGGACATTCCCAAGTGCGCTGAAGTAGCATCAGGATTGGAATATCTCCATTCGCAACTTCCCCCAATCGTACATGGTGATATCAAGGGGGCGAGTGTTTTGCTTGCTTACAGGATGGCTGGGAATCTGAGATTGGAGTTATTCAGCAAAATATTCTGATCGCCTCCGACGGACGTGCCTGTATCTGTGATTTTGGCCTCTCGAGGATCTTGGACAATAATCCCACAGGGTTCACATTCACGACTGTTGGAATGAGCCTTCGCTTCTCAGCTCCTGAATTACTGGATCGTGAGGACAAGACAATGGAAGCTGACATTTACGCTTACGGGTGCACTTGCATTGAGGTCAGAGGCCCGGGAGCTCATTGGTTGCTAAAGTTTACGAGTTTGTGACATGCCCAGATCTTACTAGACAAAAGACCGTATGAAACCATCCGCAGCGACAAGGCCCTCTTAGCTGCAATTGTGAGCGGCACGCCGCCTATTGCTCCTGAACAGCTGGAAGGGTGTAAGTCACTCCTTCCGCTTCACATTTTAAAACAATGTTGGAATGTGGAGCCATTGGATCGACCACAAGCTAAGCAATTGACTGAAGTCTTTCGAGGTGCTATTGTGAGCCATGCGGACTAATCCTAAATACATCCCCCAGCATGTTCCTCAAGGGTCATACACCAGCAACAAGAAATCTTTCTAAATTGTACCAGAGATATGTGCATGCTAGAGTCAAACACTAACTGCGTAGTATGGTTATTCGGTTACATTGTTGTATATGAACAATAGAGGCTGAACTGCGTCAATCAAAATAGGAATTCCGGGATTTTTGGACATGACACCTGGTTGACACGCGATCGCAATTACAAGGCCCAAACAAGGATGGGCAACTGAAATCCCTCTTCTGGCCTGGATTTGGCTCACAATGCTGAGAGTAGAGTCAATCAGGAATCTATCTTTCACTTTCACTTTGCTTTTGCCTCGACGTCATCTGGGTCAACCGCGAGCTCAAAGATATCACCCGTATCAGGCTGAATAAGACTGCCTTTATCCTGATGCAAGAGTACTTGCAATCGTAGACACAGAGAGTTGTTGGGGATGCGATGTACTCAGTAATCGCAAATTTGAGTCCAACACATACTCTGGGACCGGCAACTTTTGTGACGTTGTAGAGAGTTTAGAGTGAGTCGACGCCTTATTCATCATGCGGGCCAAAGCTTAAATCCAGCAGATCGGCCGTTGCCTCTTCAGGAACAAATCGAAAGTAGAGCCAACGGACTTTACGCCCCACCAAGCTTGGGGAGCCTGGTACGGTGATCAGATTATACGGAGTTCTAACGCCCTCAGTCCAGCAGAGATGCAACTCGATTTCTACTCCAGGGCCCGCAAAGAGTCCCAATCACCGTCGACATCTGCCAAATCGTTTAGTACGCTTCATCTCTTCTCTTTAAATGAGACTTGGGTCTTAGCACCTCGATTTCCCTCGTGTCCGCCGCACACCTGGGATTTTATCAGACCTTGCGTACGCTATACATGCTTACGACTCTTCGAATACTAATCAATTGTGTGTGTTCAGTTCGTGTCTCTTATCATTTCACGGAGGTGTTTTTCGTTGCTTCTTTGATTGGGTACGTTGTTTTCTTTTCTTTGCTCGCGTCCTGTTGGATGCTTCGGCCTTCGTGCCTTCGGCTTTAATGCCTTCGGCCCTCGTGCCTTCGCGCTTACTTGCGCTTCGGCCTGTGCCTGCGTTCATGTTAGCGCTTTGCACGCATCAGCTTGTCTTTTCTGGCATCCGCCATATGCTTTATTCCGTTCGCTGTTTGTGTGCTGCCTTTCTTCTTTCTGACTCTTTGGTTTTTTGTCAATAGTTCAACTTGTTTCCGAATGTAAGTATTCGGTCTTACTGAAGGTGAAGGTGTTGTGACCTTCGGTTAGAAAGATGTACCAGGTGTTGCCGTGTGTTACATGTTCTCCGAGTAATTATAATTGCAACGATGGTCGCGCCACCGCGTTATAATAGAGATCGTTTAACTAGACTCCAAATACCAGCGGCCCCCGTCATGAGGGTAGCAGCAGCGAGCATAGGTCGCACACCAGCTGTAGTAGTGGTGAATGTGAACACCGGATCAAAGCACCAAGAAAACTCTGAAAGGCAAAACAATTACCTGTCGACTTGAAAAGCGCTCCGGTCAATGCACCGGCTGCCATTCCTCCATAAGTATCATGTTTCCCCCGATAATGATCGATAGATGAATTAATGGCATTATATATAAGAGCTGTAAAGTCGATGTTGTTTGGTTATGAGACTTTTGTGTTGTAGAAGAAAAGACTGCTAGCTAACCTAGCACACCAGCCGAGTTACCCATGAATGAACCTCTTCGAGTGATCGAGTTGAGGATGCTGTTCAACCGTAACCGTGAATTTGATACGGCGAGTTGGCGAGTGCCACCTTCGCGTAATCCCCAGAGGCCTCCTAGAGCTAATCCTAATTCCAGGAAGGAAGGATTAATGGTGTTGCAGGAGATTTCCCTGAAAATAGTAAGCACCTGATAGATATGTAGTACCAGTCCCATAACACAAATCATCGGTCCAACCACGGCTTGGCAGTGCAGTCTCAGCACCAGGAAGTTGATTCCGCTTATCATCTTCCAAAACAAGAAAATCCAAGTTGTCTCCCAAGTTTGCCATTGGGTGCAACTTGGTAGGATCAAAATTATCAGAGGTAAGCAAGTCGGAAGCGGTTAAAGGTCCGTCGGTGTTGAGGAAAGGTGGTGGTGCTGAGCGAGTAAAGGAGGCATTGCGTAAGTACGAGGCCGTGTTGTTTTCTAAAGATGTCGATTCCGATGCCGATGTCTCTGAGGGCGGCATTTTTCGATATCCAGACGATGAGGGGTAATGTGTGGCAAAATCTTCTGAACACGGAATGTCCCCGTTCCCACGGGTTCCATTCGAAGAAAATTCCCACGGACACTGACGACACGAGCGAGGACTTTGCACTGCATGATATTCACCGAGCCCTCAGGCATTCAATGGTCCCACTTGTGAGCTACCCCACCAGTACCCCGGCCTCACAGACCGATATTCCTGCTATCGTGAACTTTGCATAAACTGTAACCTTTTCACAGGGTGTTGCATATGTACAGTATATAGCGTCATATGGACGATTTGTCAGAGATGGATTCTTGCAGCTTCAAGTCTTAGTTGGACGTGGCGGAGTTTTGCACCTACCTCTTCCCGATTGTTTGGCATTCAGTGGGACTGGCTAGTCTCTGCTGAGCTGGGCAACTAATTCCGGTATGGCTGAATGTCCAGCCTGGTTGCTATATCAGTCGCAAGTTTTAATGTTCTCATTTCGCAGCTGACTTTAGGTTTCCCATTTACGATTGCCACTTTCTGGGAAACCTGGCTATGCCCTCTCGGCTCGCTGTGGCATTCACATGCCTCCCCTCATCGATCCCCGATCCCTTGAGGGTTGTCGCGCAACTTCGTATGCTGGTGCGGACCATTCAATGGAGGTACGTACTGAATTTTCGCTGTTAAGGAGGGCGCTCACGTTGTTTAGGCCAGGCTTATAAAGGGCCCTGACAGCGCCCCTTCCTCCTTTCCCTATCGCCCGGTATTTCGCGCTCTCCGAGATCTTGCTGCCTGTTGTCCGGGCTCACACCCTTGACCCGCTGCCGCTACTTCCGCCGGAAACTAGTAACGCGCTGCTTTGACTCACTGCTGACAATGTTTTCTTCCGCAGTTGGACCTTATAATTTCACTTGCCCCTTAGCGCTCTCTTTGCCAGTCTTTTTCTTGTCTCCCACCCCCTCCCCGACACTCCTTTCTGTAATTTTCGCCTTTTCAGATACATAGTTATCTCGTCTGTGATCTCTTGTCTGTTAACTCTGCTTCGTTTTTGCGTGCACTATAATTTCCACCTGTAACTTGCTTGCTTTAGGGTTTCAATTTGGTCTTGCCCCACCACCTTTTGTTCCCTTGCGCTTACTCTTTGTATGTATGGGTCACACCTGGCCTTATATGGCCGCTTCCAGGTAACCTTGATTAGACCTGAGTATTGAGGATTTGGTCCTTAGCCCTCTTGTAACTACCCAAGACAAGGGCTACACGAATAACAGGAATATAGGAATTTCCGAGGGCGCAGCTGCAATATCTCGTAGCGTTGTTCAAAACAATGCGAGCAGCGCTCGGATTAAACCTCACAGTCACAACTTCCGAATAGGGTTACGTAGGCAAAACAGAAAATACAGTCGGGTGACGAATGCCGCTAATAACTTGGTCTTTGTCACTCAAGCGCTGACACGCCTCCCATCAATAGTATGGTACGGCGAATTCAACCCCCCCCAGAAGAACAAGCCGTGATTTCTATGGGCAGCCACCCGACAATTCCCAAAGAAACGATTCCAGAACTCATGCTGCTCTGCCACAGCTACCAAACACCCAGGGCCAGTGGGTGGCGCGAGATTGAAAATACTTAAAGCAGATGGCTTTAGGTTCAACCACAATGGGGCGCTCACTGAAGTTATATGTAGTAACAATCACCATTGCCACTACTTACCATTCAATAATAGGGCAATCTCCACTTATTGCGGCCCCAAGCTTGACAGGGCTCAAGGATATAGCGTTACTTCAATCCCTGGCCCATTGAAGGTCAAGGGTTTCTGAAGTTAAAAGCGCTTGATCGCCACATCATTTCTTTCCGCCTTCGCCACTCCTTTTCGCATTTTCACTTAAATGTGGAACATCCAATGATTTAGCTCATCAACAAATTGTCCATCATCTGCTTTCAGTCCCACTCCAAGCAGTCATGCGATCCGTAATGCGATCTGTAAGCCGCAGTTCCATATCGTGTTCTTACTTGTGTCTGACAAACGTTTTTAAGCATGACACTCGTCGCCGACGCGAAGCCGCCCCTTCAGCCAACCAAAATCCCCATCCTATTCACAAACTTCCCCACGATGTGCTCGCACGCGTCTTCTCCCAGGCCACAGTAGATGAGGACAATAATACCCTCCTCAGTATCTCGCACACCTGGAGATACTGGAGGTCACTAACTCTCGCGCTCCCAACTCTTTGGTGGAACTGCATCTATACTACTCTTATCCCATTTAACCGTGAAACGCCACTCTCAGAGGAGGACATGAAGGTCCAGGACAACAAACTGGACTACTTTCGAACGTGGATCGCACGTTCCAAAAACGCTGTCATCCGAATCTCTTTTCAATTAAGTAGTCCAATGACGTGGGGATTCGACCTCCACACAGTCGATCGTCGTGGCGCCGGCAAGACCGATCCAGTTCGCATTTATCCCCCCCACGTTGGATTCCTGCGCGACATCATAGCGAAGAACCTCCCCCGTGTCCGGCACCTGGATCTTTCGGAAGTCGATCTTGAACCACTTCTCCCTCTTCCTAACACGGAAAACATCCAGTATATTACAATCGACACAGATAACCCTTGTATCTGTAAGGACTCTGGTATTTACGAACCACCCAGGGTTGCAAGGACATTGTTTGGTTCGATCCCCCGGGCTCGCTGCCTCAGGATTTGCGGGGAGCCCGTGGACACCACCCAATTCATGTCCTCGTTGTCAACTGCGGTCCGTTTAACCCATCTGGAGTTCGTTCCTTACGGTCGTGGCAATATCGGATGTTTCCACCCCAATGAGGAAGAAGGCGTCGGGATCGGGCTTACCACTTCTCAGGTTCTCTGTATCCTTCGCAGCTGTCCCAATCTACAGATCCTGCGGATACATGATATTCGGGACTCTTCTCCCCCCTTGCCACATGGAGGCGTCTTTCCAAAAATGCAACACGTTTTATTCGGATGCCAGCGCTATCACTCTCTCGACCGGTTGGTGAGCCTCTGCACATTCCCAAATGCACGGTCGCTCGAGTATTGTACATCGTTTGAGCACGAACCAAGCATGGAGATGAATATTGTTCCGTACCCCTTTGAAATGAAGGCTCTTGAACACGTCACCTTCCACTGCGTTCCTTCGTCGCTAATCTGGAAAGTGATCGCAGCTGCTCCCATCCTTACAACTATCCGGCTCTTCGGTTGTGGAATGCCAGTCAACGCCACGAACGTCTCTGTATCGGATCTCTCGGTGATGCTTGGCCCTCTCATCCTGAACTTGGAGAACTGGCGTCAGGGACAGGCTGTACTGGCGCCAGGTCTCAAGGCCATAGCTTTGGCGGGCGTATACTGGGCTGAAGGGTTTGAGCTTCTGCGCCGATATCTACTCGGCCGGCGCCAGCGGGGGCTCGGGCTCCCCAGAGCTATGTTCGACGACATACTCTGTCCCGACAGGACGAGATCCTCTCGGTCGAAGTCGGATCCCCCGCCTCCGTGGAAAGCCGAGGAGAGCAGACTCAGAAAAGCTGGCTTCCCTGTGGAGGGTCTGAATGCAGAGGCGTGTGACATCGCTGACAAGGGAGTGCTATGGGACAACGTTTATGGGAACCTTACGGTTGGAGACAGTGATTCGCACCGGGCTTTGCAGCGGTGCAACCAGGACATTTATCGCCAGTTCGGGCCTGATCGTGAATGATAGACCATCGTGGTGGGCAAACATTTCTCGAAGTCTGACCCTCTAACTAACCATCGGACCATTGTTATCCCTACAGCCCTTACGCATTATTTATATGTTAGATGCACGTGTATCTCTTCTCCCCATCACTTAGATATTCATGCTCGTATACCACTGCCCCGTTATCTGGACAATTGAATGTCGATACTGGAGACCGCCATTGGCAAGTGAGATCCGGGTTTCTTCTCTCTCGCTTGTTGTGCGAATGAACCACGAGATAGATAAGCTTCTGAGGATGCGTAGACTGAGGTATTGAGGGGATCAAGTATCTGTTCAGATATCTGACGAGACTGGCTCGTCTTCCTCGTAAGAAGAGCACAAGACTGTCGGGAACTTATGTTCCTGTCAACTTCGGTGCGGATGGGAGACCCGCCTAGTCCCCGTTGCCCCGTGCCTTTTTGAGATGAGGCATCCCCAGAGTAAATCTTTCTACCGGCAAGTTGTCGTGGCGCTTCCTAATACCGCAGCAATCTGGCGCTTCAGGTCGTCGAGTCATCCCCTATCACAGGCAGTGAGAAATCAGATCCCCTTCAGATGACCGAGCCTTGGGTCCTCAGCCTGAAAGGGGCATAGCCTGCACTATCGCCAAGGCTGGCGATGGCTAGCTTACTGGGGGGGGGTTTCGATTTTCCCGAACAACATGCGCCCTTTGACGCCGTTGGAGGGAGACTCGGAATCCCGACAGCGGCGTTTGGCGACATACTTTCCTCCGAGAGGCTGACACCTCCTGGCCTAAGAAGACAGCTTTGCTGACAAGACGAGGAGAGAAGAGTTCGATGGAATGGTTTTATTGTGTGCGGAGGCGTGGGAGATCGATGGTAACCAAGCACGATGGGAGGATAAATAACCCGCGGCATGGAAACTTCGCGTTCGAAGAACGGCGATTCGCATAGAGCTGTGAACGAGGGTATCCGTAGCGACTTCGGACCTGATCGCGAGAACGAGAAGTAGAACTGTTTTCCGTCCGGGACTTGCGATGCGGAGCCGCATCCTCGGGAGTCCGCGATACAACCTTTCCTTGAGCTGGACCTAACACCTAACGATTGTATCTTATTGCATGAGTGCAGGGCGTTTCGTTCGTGGTAGGCTACGGAGGGTGGGAAGGTATTGAGGTACTCGGAATCCTGGTAAAGGTACAATTTGGGTGACATTTTTCCGGTTTGAGTGCTTAGATTTTGAACACTACTTAAGTACTCATGCACCTCAGTACTCACTAGTCGACGCTAATGTAAATCTGGCAGACTCAATATTCCGATGATGATGATGATGAACAGCAAACCAAAAAAACCATCGGCGCCCTCATGATGACGTGATAGTGCCGCGTCACACCGCAGCGCACGTGAAAGCTCAATCACAATAAATTCGGCCAACTCCGCTATAATAAAGCCGGAATGAGTAACGAGATGGCTTTTATGTAAGTCATGCCTGAGCTGTATTGTAGCGGAGTTGGCCGAATTTATTGTATGTTATTGTTGTCTTACCCGTTTCTGGAATTCAATGATACGGCCACCAGTGGCAGAGCACAAGGATTAGATGCTCGGACGAATGCACAAAATACACAAGCCTGTACAGATTGCTAAAGATGCCTTGATGAGGGATTGCAGAATAAATGCAGGTTCGAAGACGCGCGGCCCAGGTAGACAGAGTAAGACAGGACAATATTATTAGGTAGCGCCGAAAAAGGGGCAATTGAGGGATGCCGAGGCGGCACAAACTGGCAAGGCACGTGCGGGTAAACTGAATTCATGTTGTGATTATTCCTCGGCTCGCTGTTCTTAGCTCTCTGAATGGACCGCTCAGGTGATGAGACAACTATATCTCTAGGTCAAAATATCAATGCCCCAGCTCATCGCCTAAACTCGTCATTTCCTCTCTCCCTCACCGCCGACACTCCTACCAGGGCGCACATTCCACACCGGTCACCTTCAGGGTAATGCCATCATCGTCACCCAAGGAGGGGAGTGCCCTCCCGCCTCAGAACTCTGCCAGCCGGGCCACCGATACCAATCCCACTTCCGTTGCTCCTAAGTCCACGGACGCAAACACATCTAGCAAGAACCTATCAGGAACTACACATAGTGGCCTTAATAAACCAGTAAATTCTGATGCAGGCGGGCACGCTGTCATTGAATACTCGACACCGCGGTTCGTCTTTATATTCGCTTCTCTCATGCTGTCTGTGTTCTTGTTTGCGGTGAGTGAAATCTCTCCGTATCCCCACGATAAGTGGTTTGTTGATAACCGAAGGGCGACGTGCTATTGTGAACTTATTTTATTTAGCTTGACCAACTCATCATTGCCACCGCTATACCAAAAATCACGAACCAGTTCCACTCGCTCACCCAAATTTCATGGCTTGCAAATGGGTTCTTCTTGACCATGCTCTCCTTCAATCTCATCTACGCCCAATTGCTCACCATCTTCCCTTCCAAACACATGATTCTATTTGCTATCGCGGTATTTGAACTTGGTTCCCTCGTCTGCGGCGCGGCACCCAACATGGTTGTCTTGATCCTCGGACGTTCAATTGCTGGCATGGGAGGGGCAGGGGTTTTTGTCAGCTGTGTGATCGTACTGACGGAGATAACTACGCTCAAGCAGCGGGCAATGTACATGAGTCTCATCGGAATATGTTTTGCGGTCGCCTCGGTACTAGGGCCGCTTGTCGGTGGTGCCTTCTCAGATCATGTCAGTTGGAGGTGGTGTTTCTATATTAACCTCCCTATCGGAGGTATCGCGTTTTGCCTTCTTTTCATTCTCCTCGAGACTCGGCACCCATATGGCAGAGCTGAGACGTACCGAGGGTATGGCTATCACATGGTGAATCAGATTGCGCGATGCGATTGGATGGGTGTGGCGATAACGCTTTGCTGGGGAGTTGTCTTCATCCTCGGGCCGCAATGGGGAGGAGTGACGAAACCGTGGAACGATGGAAATGTTATTGCGTGTTTCGTCATGAGCGTTGTACTGGTGGTAGTGTTTGTTGCCTGGGAGGCGTATATGGCGGACCATGCGATGCTGCCGTTGAAGCTTTTCAAGTATCCAACACTGAGGGGAGCATCGCTAGTCTCATTCTTCGAATGGGGTGCATTCATGATTGCCGTTTATTATCTCTCGGTCGGCTTCCAGGCCGCATATAAGTAGGTTTTAAACTCCCTCAGATTACCGGATTCACATTCGTTAATGTTACCCTCATCCAGCGTGTCTGCCACAGCGGCTGGTATTCGCCTCCTGCCCATGATCATTGTCCAAGTCTTTACCCTTATCCTCACCGGTCGGCTCATTGCCCATTTCGGACGTCCTTACCTTATCATCCTCCTTGGACCTGTCTTTATTGCTTTAGGATGTGGGCTTCTGTATTCCGTCACACCTGCTGACCACATCTCCAAACTCATGGGATACGAAGTCTTTGTCGGTATCGGAGTAGGGATGTTCCTCCAAAACACGATCATGATCACGCAGTACGAATTCCGCGATCAGCCTCAACTGATGTCCGCTGCTACAGGAGTCGTCGTCTTTGTAGGTTTCACTGGACGACTATTTGGAATCTCTGTTGCTGGATCCGTGTTCGAGAATATGATCCAGGTCAACATTCACAAGTATGCCCCTGATCTCCCCAGACCCCTGGTTATCGCGGTGATGAACGCCGCCGATGCAGTGTGGAAGGTCGTGCCACCTCCTGATCGACCAGCAGTCTTGCATGCATACGTCGACACGCTAAATGATGTTTTCCTTATTGGTGTCCCTGCCGGGGTACTGGGATTCTTCGTAGCGCTGTTTATGCCCGTATTGAAAATGGACTTCAGTCAATATGGGGGAAATTCGAAGAATGGGGATGTAGAAAAGATTGCTGGGGCTGCTGTGCCCTCGCCAAGCGAAGCTGAGGCGCGCACGTCGGGCCCTGCGACCGAGGGGGGTCGTACTTCCGATGAGAAGAAAGAACTGGAGCCTGAGAAGGACGTGAAAGTTTAGCTCCTTCAATGCTGCCTTTGGTCTCTCCCTCCGTCCGTTTCCCATCGATTATCTCTCAAAACAAACCTTCTTCAACCACCCACCTGCTTTCCGCAAAGCAATATGTCATCAGGAAATTTTTGCCTTGCAATATCATTGTTTTTGTTTATGATTTATCCTCACGATTTTGACGAATCCACACCTTGCTTGTGTGCGTTATCTTGTATAATAATCATTTACCAAGTTCCAGATCAAACCCCGTCACGAGGCCAAGCAGCAACGCGTGCATGTAGAAGTGGGATTGGCAAGTGAAAATTTTGTTAACAGTCGGCGTAGTCTCAGACTTGTTTGTGCGTCCATAACTAAGTAAGACCTCACTGGGTCTCACGCCCAGCGAGCCCAGACTTTAGCTGTCTCAGTTTAGAGTTCATAGCTAATCGATTACACGGGAGCTAACTGCGTTCTGAGAAACTTTCGGTCGAGTTTAAAAGGTTTGCATCGAGGTGAGGTGTGTTGGCCAGGGGAAGACAATTAACGTTGAAAATGAGGTGCGGAATTCAGAACTTGCGACTGATAGCACCTGACGATATTGAGAGCGTGGCCCAGCCATAACGAAACTTACACAGCTACGCCACGATGATAAGCAAGAACCAAGGCGGGGAGCCCGATTGCGACGATACACCCTGTCGGTGGAGAGCCAGGAATATACCTTGTAACCTCTCTAGGACATGATCGGTGATAGTACAGCACAGGTCTAAGAGGTTGACTAATCTGAATGGTTAGAGTGATGGAGAATGGAAGTAACGTACGTACAAATTGAACCTCAAATCTAGCCCATTTCAATCACAAATTTGCCATCGAATGGCTTTGCTTGTTCGTCGATGCGATGCTTGTATCCTCTCTGATTACTCACAACTCTGATCCCACCCCGTACAAAATCACAGGTCCAGTGTGTATGTCCAAAAGCCCAAGTCTTGATCGGTTCACCCCAGAAGCCCTCCCCAGTTAATTCCGTGGCAAAAGCACTGTTAGTCGGTCCGCCCTTGTATTTCGGATTCGCCGTCCCGTCCACGGTAGGTGCATGATGTGTAAGGACAACAATATCCTTTTCAGGGAAATCAATCTTGATTCGTTCGATTTTTGAGCGTAACCAGGAGATTTCCTCTTCGTGCAGCTTGCAAAATACCTCAGGGTTCATGCCCTTGATAGCTCTAAAATCGTTCAGACCCCATATCAGGAATTCCAAGTCCGCGGGATTGAGAGCGGACCAGAGAGTGCAGCCGAGTATGATAGTGTTGGTCTCTGGACCAGGCGAGTAAGATCGCCGGTTCATGAGGACAAATTCCCCTAAGGTAGGAGAGGACCCCGAAGCGCGTTCGGCGGTAATGGAGTCCTCAAAATCCTCGAACGCTTTGGTGACGCTATCCTAAACAGCCAGCCGCTGCAATCAGATGATCATCAGGTTCTGAAGGCAGGATAGATCTCACATAGCTGTTCCAATAAAACTCGTGGTTTCCAAGAACGTACAATACGGCTTTAAATTGATGGAGCTGTGTTCTAATGAACTCAAAGAGACGGGGGTCGTTTGCGGTTCCAATGTCACCCAGTAAGGCTAATATGGGGGCCACTGGTGTAACCTTGAAAGTCTCATACTCGATGGTGTCCTGTGACCTCTCAATTTCAAGATGGATATCACTGAGTACTTGAATGGAGCTTGGCATTGACGAGAAGGCTGGGTGTAGAGCAGTTGCGAAATGCCATGCCGTGAGAATTACAGCTTCAGATTGTCGATTTCAAAGTCTAGTCAAGGTCTCACACTGTCGTGAACTGCCTCATATTGGGTCGATCGTCTTTGGGCGCGTCTAAATACAGCTAGAAGAGACCCTACTAGATTTTCTATGATGTTGCACCTCTTCCCTACCAGCTATAGACCCCTTAACTTTTGGCTTGTACAGGTGAAGAATAGCGAAGCGACAGCCCCGATGGCAGTCGAGACTTCGGAAGCGACCTGGATACCATACACAGATATCGGAGCTAAGGGAACGGCGATGAGTAGCACGGAAGACTCGAAGCACGGACGCGTGAGCGAGAGCAGAGAAACAATCAGGACCCAAAAGCCGGCAAACTGAAAAAAGGAACAAGAGTAAACGGTAACCGAAGGTCACCTACAGCAAGACCGAATACTCACATCAATGGTCAGGATAGTCCCGAACAAGACTAGCGGAAGAGCAACAGTAAAAACAGAGAAACAATCTAACCCAAAAATACCAAGCATCAGAAATGAGAACGCGCAGCGGGCAACGAAAGTGCCGGACTCAAGGAAGACGCGGACCAGACAATCAGGTCGGCGGGTGAAAGCAGAGCCACAGGTTGGCAGAAACGCTATCGCAGTGCAGCTAGGAGCACGAACAGCCAGATCATGAGTTGCCGAATAGAAGTCATTTGAGTGATATGAAATGCGGCATGGGAACGAGGAGAGGTATACATCAGAAGGTGAGTCAACCACACTTCCACCGGGGTCATGAGAAATTCGGAGTGTTCAGATGTCTCGAGGTCTCTGCACGCAAGAATGGCAGCAGTGACATACCATCTACCCCTTCATCCACGGCGTAATCTGTAGCGAGATCAAGACATTGTTTGCTCTAAGACAATGACTCTTGAGCAGCGTGCCTTTGACGAGCATGGCGACTTCTGCCTTGGCATCTCTGAGCAAGAGCAGCAGTGGATCAACTAGGCACTGACTGTTGGCCAAAGATTCGGGCAGCTGCTCGAATGGACTCAGCCAACAAACGACGCTTATCCCAGGGGACCATAAATTCCGATGGGTCAATCGATAGTTGTTATAGCTTTAGTGGCGATAACCGCGCGCCAACCGTTGCAAAATTATAGTGCCGTGGATCAAACTGTCGAAAAGCATTTGGGAAAAATATGCGAGGAAGTGACAAGAGACCAGAATAGCGCCAGACATCCCAGCTAGAAAGCCAGGGAGTACTACGGTAGGGATGAAGGATGGATGTACCTGTTGGCAATACCTGATCACCTGACATCTGTAAGTTGTATCTAGCCCCAGACTCAATCGAATGCAGCGACTTGTGAGGAGCTTCTGCTCGATGGTTAGCATCAGCCCACCTCAAGAGCTCACATTTTTCGCTGCCCGAACAACTCGTCGATTTCCCATCTGGTTTTCCCAAGCCTCACCTCTCTTTTCAGTATCAGTTGCAACACGATGTGTTTACGTAGCAGGCGAGACTGCGTGCCATTGGTAGGTAGATGTAGTCGTTCCGCTTCAGTTGACACCCCTGGCGACAGAGACACCCATGAGACAAGAACCTGTGCACAACGGTATCAGATCCTGAGGCGGCGACGCGCGTCGTTGTATCTCCACATTATGGGAGAGTTATCACTGCATACTGCGAGCAGTAACTCCCAAGTTTATGAGTGGCGAAATGGATGAGATAACCGATCTGAGAAGGAGAAAGACAGTATTGCTGTTCACGCTGAGCACTCGCCAGCGGTAATTCTCTCGGGTTACTGTGCCAGGACAAGAAACAAGGATACCGAGAACACAAAGCAAGACGAATTGGAGGAATAACGTACGAATTGGCGAGACCTCTACCAAAGAACAGAGATCATACAAAGAGCGCAGTCAATAGTCAAAATATACCGCATGGAGCCTATCAACGGACTTCGAATGGTGGGAACGAGTGAACAGGTGGACGAGGACAACGTAGCTGCGTGTCTGGTGTTCCTCATTATGTTCATGCCCTAATAGACGGATGCGGTCTGGGGGCGGTGCCTTATGATAAGCCCGCCATACAAAGGCTAAGGCAGATAAAAATGGCTGCTACAGGGGTGGAGATGGAAAGAAAACAGGGGGAATGGAATAATTGAGCAGACGCACTCTCTTCATTGGCCCCATATGAAATGAGGTAAGCACAATTGAGCTGCCTGCTTGCAAGAATGGTGGAGGCAGGCATTTAGTCAATGGGGAAAATGACGTTCAGGAATCGGTAACAGATTGTCATTCATTCTCCCATCGTCACAGGGGAGAGTGCGCAGCCGAACTTCAGCAGATCATGAAAAGCCCAAAAAGCTTTGTCTGATTGAAGGAGCTGTGCTGAGGTTAATGTGGAGTGTTTGCTTAATGGCGACTGGTGACATGCTTGCAGGTGCGGTAACCCTTCATGGAGAGGGGATCGTAAAGGATAGGATAGTTATTTTGGGCAATGTGAGCAACCAGACCGTAGCCCAGAATGGAGGACCGAGCATCTAGATACCTCACCGGGAGGATAAGGGAATGAAAACAAAGTCTTGTGGTCAGAAACAGGTGGACCCCACGGGCCGCGAATCCAAGAATATTGAAAGATAGGAGACATGGTCACAGAACTGAAAAATGTTTGGCTAGGAGGCGGTGACATTAACGGAGGATATGGAAATTGTCAGGAGAGGGCAGTCCAATTATTGGAGGCAGTGTGGAAGAATTGCGAAGAAAAAGGCGAACTCATCGCTTACGCAATGAGGCGGGAACCTAACGCAGTGAGCAGGCTGGCAAATTCTTCGATGCTCGGACGCGGAAGCCTGTCACTGGAGAAAAAGTGGGTGTGAGAGAAGCTGGAATAGCGAATGTGGCCTGTTGAGATAACGGTTAATACACTCAAACCCTCACTTGCTACTTGCACCACGAATATTCGCAAGTCGCATGTTCAACCCCCTACAAAGGGGAACGGACTGACTGTTAGGAAAGGAGAATGGATGTGAGCGAGAGGATGCACAACGCTCGATACCATCTAGTCCGCACGCCATGATGGCAGTGAAAACAATGTCGGTACCGACACAAGAAGCACTCACACACACAAGCCAGTGTCTACCCTCTACTAAAACAACACCTTGTTGGAAGCAGGGTCTCCCCATCAAGATGGACATATGTTAGCGGTGGTGAGGAAGATGAAATGGATGGGCAGAGCGACAAGCGTTACCGGTGACTTTCGGAGCTAAATATGCACCTCCGAGGCATTAATTTGACGCCTCATCACACTTCGCGGCACCACCACAAGGTCTGTACCACTTATATCGTCCGTGCACACTTCGCCATCGTCGAAGGATATTCCACGGGCCCAAGCGATAAAAGGGCCAAATGCAGTTACCGTAAAATCAAATATCACGTGTGCATTCGGTCACAACGGCGGCCCCAAAAGTACTGACGTGGCCCCCAGCGCACAACTTCCAACACTTCCATGGGCCGCCTCGATAAGGTGGTCTCCTCGGCGGCTACTGGTGGCGGCCTAAGGACTCGAAACCGCGTCACAAACAAGACCCGTCTCAAGGTTATTGACGGCGATGTTGAAGATGCCGAACTTGTCTTCATTGAGGAAGACTCGGATAAGAACAAGGTCCTGGATACGGCGGGCGTCGAACATGAGGATGCCAAGGTTCGTAGACATCAACAGCGATCGTGGACCGATCTGCTGCCAGCGCTGTCCCAAGTGGCTGACTCACCCCCTTTCCCACTCAATTTTCATTGGCTGCGCAACTATGCCCGTTACCTCCGTTATCTCCGCAATTCGCCATCACCATCACCATCACTCATCCTGTCGGCGCTTAACCCGGATAGGAAGAGCATTTGGTCAAAGGCAAGAAAAACTGGCTCATCATTAAATTCATCTGATTATTGAGAACGATGTAATCAGTCCTCGCCGCGGCTACCCAACGGATTTCAGGCCGTATCCCCAAATCAACCGAAGAGAAACCATCAACAGCACATATTCCCATACCCGATGCTACAGGTGTCGTCGACAACTATTTGGAGCACTACCCAGAAGGTGTTTGGACCGACCCAGCGGCTTATGTCAAGTCTTCGGACACGGTTGAGGAGTGTGTCGATGGTGCCATTCTCGGCGGGTCGACATACGACATGGACGAACGCGACGTTGAATGGCTGCAGAAGAACAACAGCATCGCCCTTGGCGAAGGCTCAAGTAGCGCAATTCCCTCGCCGACTCGCAATGTCAAAACCCGGGGCAAGGACATTGCTTCAGACCGACTTTCTTTTGTCATCACCGAGGACGAGATAGAACTCGTGATGGGTCTGTTCGAGAAGTTCACCGACGAGAAATGCCCTTTCCTTCACCTTGACATCAAGGGCCTCCCGCCATTGTCCGAGTACGAGCCGCTCTTCGCCACCCCCCTGTCCCCAACTCTTTTCGCCTCGTTCATAGTTCCTCCCCATGCCCGAGACCCCTCACATCTCATTCGGCTCGCTCGAACAATATACCCCCACTACAAGGAGCGGAAAATTGCTCGCCAAGGTCACAAAATAATACCCTCATTAAATGTAAGTGTTTATGTTGAGTTACATTTGACACCCGTTGAGAAAGCCCACCAGTTCGACGAATCCAATTCTGAAGATGCTTACGTGTGTTTCCGCCGACGAGATGTCAAGTCAGTTCGTAAGACCCGTCGGACGGATACGACGCCTGCCGAAAAGGTCTCACGGCTACGGCAGGAGCTTATCAAGGCGAAAGATCTCGCTAACTTAACCGTTTCGCGTGAGGTCAAGAAGTTGGAGCTCAATAAGGACGCGCGCAGCGTTCTCGAAGCGAGGATCAGGTTTATCGAGTTGAAAAGGAAGCATCCACAGTTCTCGCTGAGCACAGATGACCAACTACTCGTGGACCCCGAACGCGTGTTGGCCAAGCGGCCGAAGATGACGTTGGAGCAGAAGTAAGTCGACAAGGATGGAACTGGGGGTATTTAATTTGCTAACATGAAAAAGCGCCGTGTCGCTGAAAATACCGCGACGAAGTAAGGATCCTACAGACTTAAATTCGCCCTATCCGGCCCTTGAAGAGCAAGTGCATCCACATGAGCGTGCCGAGTTATTCGCTAAGGAGATCGAGCGCCAATGCGAGATGAGAAAGAACTCGGGCTGGGAGGATTATTTAGATGTCAGAGTCAAGATTCACGTATTAATTGTCTTCTTTCTGATCGTCTGCCTATGTTAGCTCCCGACGAGTTTACCCATCTCAGATCACTTTTTTCACGCTCTTTCCCTCGCTGTATCGCCATCAAAGTCTTCGGTAGAGCACACAGGACGTTCACCGTTCTCGATCCGAATACGTACAGGGCGAGGCGGCCGGTCATTCATCGATCGTCGCCCGTTCCACGGAAGAAGAAGAGGAGATCCTCGGAATACCCCACCCCCAGTTCCGCAACTATTTTCATCAACTCTCTCATCTGAGGGTGGACTTTGGTCCCACTCACCGAAAGAGTTGACCGTTCATATCAAGTCGGATGAGGGCGATGAAGGCTCTCATGATGAGCCAAAGGATGAGTATGTGCGGAAGATCAATGAGCAGTGGAGGTTCGACGATGATGCGGTAGTGATGGAAGAGGAGCAACGGGTATTGATTGATGACTTTGACGCTCGGTACGGTGTTTATTTGCATGCCTGGGTCTTTGGGACTCATCTGCCATGATAGGTATATTCCCTCGCGTCTTTCTCTATTTGGGGAATCGGAACTCATTGGGTTGTCGGTGGACGAAAGCCACATCCGCAACGCCGAACTGTACGCCAACGCTAAACAGGAGTCTGGTCAACGGGCACTTATGGCGGCGCGGCACCAGTATATCGCGATGAAGGAAATGACGATTAAGGAACGGATGCGTCAGCAGCTTACAACGGCTGGGGGGCAACATGGCGTTACTCCTAGTCAACCCGTTCCTAATGGCAATCCTCTTTCCAGACCCACGCCGGACCAGAATGCCCAGATGCAGAATGCGGCGCTCGCCATGCAAGCATCAGGTCAGCTCCCGATGAATACCTCTGCTCTAGCTGCAGTTACACAGCAGCTACAGCAATCCGGCACGATCCCCGTGTATAACGGGCAGATGCCTCAGTCGGCAGCACATTTGAAAAAGATGGCCCAAATGCCTATGCTAGCACCGCAGCAGCGAGCCGGTTTCAACATTTCCCAAACCTCTCAAATGGCTGTCAATGGGAATTTGCCACAAATACAGCAGCAACAAATCCAGCAACCCCACCCCCAACTCCTTCAACAACCTTCACCGACAACACCAGCTTCATCGCAGCCCCAAACCCAGTCCTCTGCAGGCCCAGCGCCTCCACAACCTACTCCGTCATACAACCCCTCTCCTCATTTATCCCCAACTTCCATGCGTCCACCCACTCCCTCCGTCTCACCCACAGATCCCAACCCGGGTCTTACGCAAAACTCTCCTACACGCCCACCTTCTCAGATCACGCAGCAGTCCCCCATGGTCGTGCCTCAAATCACTGGCATGCCATTCCACAGCGCATTACCGTTCAACTATACGCCGGGCCCCCAAGGTGTGCCGCAATATCCCACCCCAAATGGAACAGCCCAACCGTCTCAGCCATCTCAGATATTAGCGGGGCAACAGCAATTACCGCAGCACTACTCGCGGGAGCAACTGGCGCACCAAATAGCGCAACAGCACCAGCATGCGGCTATGAAGAATGGAATAAACACCGTGAACGGCGGGCATCCATACCTGAACGGAACATCTCAACAGCATGTACAGCAAATGCCGAATGGTGTACCTCGCAACGGCATGATGATGATGCCGCCGCCTCAAGCATATCATGGCCTCCATATGGCGAATAATGCTGCGAATGGGGCGCCGCCAGTGATGAACATGTCCGCGACAAACATGCCGTTGAAATCTGCGAGACAATGGCCGCGTCATAGCGGTGGTCAGGCGGATATAAATAGCAACGCTCCAAACGGTAATCCAACAGGTTCTCCTGTTATGCAGCATCACGTCAACTCGCCAAATCTTGGAGGACAAGGCTCGCCTGTACGTATGAACGGGGTGCTGCCTGGTGGGAGGAATTCGCCTATGAACCCTCATCCATCCCTGCAACAGTTGCCGCAACATCAACCCTCGCCGCTGATGGACGTACACCATGGGGCACCTCAAATTCCTTATCGTGCCACCGCTTCTCCTCGTTCTGCCTCGTCGGTAGCTGACATTGCAATGCTTCAACAGCATCGCCAGTCACAATCACCTCACCTCGCAATGCCGAGCCCCGCCCACCAGCATCAGATGCTTGGCAACGGTGCTGGCTGAGGCATCAATACTTCCGCCCTATACTTGACCCCATCACCCCCATTCTAATTTCTAATCAGCCAAAGTCGTCGTCATGCCCGTTCCCACCTCCCTTGCCATTCACTTTTACCCTTGGCTCGTTGTAGCGTGCACCTGCTCCGCTCTATGCCTTTTCTTAAGCTCCGCTTATGAAATCTTCTAGTGCGCAATTCCACGCTTTGCAATCCTTGCTTAGCGCCAATTTCCCTTCACGCATTACTATTCCTCATTTCCATCCCTCTTATCTGTTCTATTCCGCCCTGATGACCCCGGTATCGACGACAACATCAATTCTCCTCTTTTTCCGGCTTTTCTATTTTTTTTTTTGAATTTTCCACTGTACTTTATTCCCTTTCTCCTCTTTTGTTCTATCTTGACATTATTTTGCGGGTGCCAGCGGGCGATTGTAACGTTTCGGACAATTCTACAACTTATGTCACAGGCAACACAACCAGGCGATGAAGAAACTGTATGTGCAACCAGGTGTGCTGCAACAACAAAGAAGAAAGAAATTATTATGGTGTATAGGACTGATAAGCAGAAATACTAAGCCAGAATGCTTTGTTTTGAGCTGCTCTGCCGTTCATGAAAACACTCGCAATTTAGGAAGAAAGGAGAGAAGAAGTGTAGGTCTTCAGAGATTCAAATTGGTTATCATTACACAACCAGGCGTGATGCCCACGCTGCTAGCTCTGCGAAAGAAAATTATACATTGGGTTATCAAATAGTGCACAGAAACTCAAGTGACTTCTATCTGTGTCCGGCCCCTCATGATCGATCTAGCTGCTCGTGCTCCTTAGCTGCACTGCAGTAGCACTGCGGTAACATTTCTGCCAACCTGTGTCCGGTCGCTGCTTTCACCCACCGACCTGGTCCGCGTCCTCCTCGAATCCGAATGCCCCAACCATGCTTGTCAAAGGCATGCTGCCCAAGAATCATCGTCTTAAAGCAGACAATATCTTGTTCTCCCTTATGGATTACGCCGCGGACGAAGGAGGTAACGTCACCGCCGTACGTCATTCTTCAAGCGTGCAGAGACCTCGAGACATCTGAATTTCTCGTGGCTTTGGGGGAAGTGTGGTCGACCCACCTTCTGCATCCCAGTAATATATGACTCCTCTCGTTCCCATGCCACATTCCATATGACTTGCAGTAAAAGTGGCGGGCGAAACGAAGAGGCACACCGTCCGAGGAGCAGACGTACTGTGTGTGTGTGTGTGTGAGGCAGTTCCAACAGAA